GCGGCGACCCGCCACGGATAAGTATTCACTTTAGCTTGGCTGTGGTTCGTGACCTCGTATCGCCACGGCATTACAGCCCTTCGCTTTTTATCGGAGCGCCACGTCACGCGGAGGTTGCAATTACTAATTTAGAGGCGAGACCGAGTCGTGCCAAATCCCTCGGCTCCACTGCAGAAAGCCGCCCTCTTTCTCTCCCGGCTCTCTTATTCGAATATAACGCGCCGAACTGTTGCGCGCCCGCGAGAAAACGAACGTACGACCTCGTGGATCATGCCGTGCACGGATACTGTGTGTGTATACAGTCGCCTCGGAAAGTCAGTTAACCATCCAGATGGAATTTCCTGTGGACAGATTCGTCCATTAAGGACGCTACGTTTTATTCGCAACTGTGGATTTTAGGAAATTTACGCGACCCTGCTCCTTCTTTCAATACCGCTGCTACGAATTTTAGGAATTACCTTGTTATTCGCTTCGTTACTTTATCTCTTTGCCGCGTTTATATTTTAGAATCGTACGAAATTTAGCGAAATTAAAATGTTACGAGATCATGGAATAATCTGTTTTAGTTTGTCAGTAGTTTCTACCTGAAATAGAAAGCTATAATCTACGTAAAACGTATAAACGAATTAAATAACAGAATATCTTAATATTAAATGGAGTTTTAACATCCCTATGCACAAAAATCCTAAGTTGAAAAAGATACGCACCGCCGTTCCATCTGAAACTGACATTTATCGCTCTATTCTCTATCCTCCTTTTCTCAACTGAAATCACCAAATTTCGGAGAATCACGTCGCGTTCGTAGTATCGTCGACGATAAACCAATAGGAATTTTAAACGAATACGTGGTTTTGTAGGAAAAGATGTAAAAATCGCTCGCAACCGAAGGGTTAAACGTAATTCGTTTAGAGGAGCGTTGGCTTACTTTCGAAGGCGACTGTAGAAGTATACCTCTCTACTTCGTTCTGACACGGAAAGCACGGAGAGCTTGCGCACGAAGAGGCCGTGGTAGCCGCGGGTAACCATGGCCATGGTATGTAGTATACACCGCGGATATGCAACCATCGAAATATGCGCGAGCCCCGGAGCCCTCGCTAATTACATGCCTGTCGCGGCGCGCGAACGCCGTTTCCTAATTGTAAGCGCTCTTGAGAGAGAGTGTCTGGCCACATCGTCGGCCGTCAGATCTGCTTCGGGCATTTTTCGCGCTCAGACGTGCCGGGGGTAATAGAAAAGCGGCCTCGGATTAATTACGCCCGCAGAGTACACACATTTCGCGAGCAGCTTGTACGATTTGTAGCTTGGCGTAGTTCGTTCAGTGAATCTCGACGTCTGACGGGTTTCAGGTCTGTGGACGTAGGTGGAGGGTTCGGACTTTTTGGTTTAGATTACACGAGGCAAATGGACCGGTTTATAGAGGCAGATGTTATTTACCGATTATTACGATTCGTACTCTAATGGGAACTGTTACATCGAATCTCTCACCGAATAAAGACAATTACACTTTCGCTTCTATTGTCTCGGACGAAGACCGGCTTTCAAGCTGTGCACGTAACATTCTTTCCCTTTTCCAGATACGATCTCCGTCCAGACAATTGACTCAATGTTATTCTAGCGAGATTCTATTTCCAGAGTGTAGCGTTACTCGAAAGTTTATTCAAGTGGATTCGCGAGTCTTTCTTTTCGTAAGTAATTAGCGTATTAACAGGATCTTTTAAATTTAAGAATTAAACTATCGCGTCGAACAGTTTAGACTAGATTCGAGTTAGTGGTTATTCGATTTTTTAAAACTGTAACTGATATTTCGTATCGTGTAAAGCGATAAATCCATAAGTTACTAGAAGTTGTACGGATTCAAGATACGATTTTCTTCTAAAATTATACGGATTCGTTATTTTCCGCATAAGGTATGTTTCTTGTCGTGTCCTTCGCATCGTGTTCGCATCCTTTGATTATTCGGAACTCCAATGTTAAAGACGACCGTACCGTGCCAATTTCTCAAAAGAGTATCGCGTCGTGCACGTAATACAACTTCACGAATATTCGTTCGACGAATGTTCCTCGATCGTTCCTCGGCCGTACGTTTCCCTCGGCCGGCAACACTTGGCTGGTGCTTAATTCAAGTTCCTCTCTATCCCGTTGGTTCGTTCGAGGGAGAAGGAACGAGTCATCGAGAAACGGGGATTCGTCGAGCCGACCCTCCGCTCGTATCGTAGAACAATGAAGGGCCGCTATTAATATTGGCTCACTATCTCGACGGTATCGCGCGTTTCACACTCCCCACGCACTCGAGTAACACGGCCCGCGCAGGGACATTTTCATTGCATATTAATGTGCCTCATTACTGCCACTCCGCACCGCATTACTCAATGCTACACCGCCGGCCCGTCTAGTGTTTCAAACGGGATCGAGCCGGAAATGCTATTGACCGCGTGCATTCTTACTCGCGAAAAACTCGCCCCCGCTTCGTTCTCTTCGCCTCTGATTCGATGTCGGAAAATCTGGAAACGGGCCGCGTTAATTTGACTAACATCGACAAATTTTACATATCTATATCTATGGTATATCGTAAATATAAATTCCATCCATCGTATAAATAGATCGTGTACGAAGGAGATGATAAAAATAGCCAAACACCGTGCGTTTAATGTAGCCAACACCGTAGAAGATGTTTTCAAGCCTCTCGGTGCACGTTTCCCATCGTGCGGATCTTGACCGGCGCTTGAGACCAATCTAATATTTCCTGGATTCGCGGACACCCGATATTTCTACGATATTTCTACGTTTCCTGGACGGTCCATTCTTAACCTTGCCTCGCGTAACGAGCGAGGAATTAATAAGATTATTAATAAGCGAAAGTCTCGCCGGAGGGGATGCGCGATACACCTTTCCCCTTGCTCCCGACCGCTTTCGACCGATCCCACGAAACCGACGAATCACCAAACCGGATGTTTTCAACACGATGCTGGAAAGCCGGTGGTGAAAAGACGCAACGCCTCCGAGGATGATTATTAATCGTGCCAACGATCTGGTCAGGGTTTAGGCGAGCTCTTGGTGTATTCACGAAGCGAGGTTTAACGCGCGAGGTCATTGGAGACGACGACGACGAAGACGACGTGGAGATTCTTATAAGCAGACGTCCGGGACATTAGCTATCGAATCGTTTGCCCCGTGTAAGAAATACTTAAATGTCGAGAACGCGACTCTGCCGAGGGAGAAACCGTTGGCCGGGTCGTGGTTTTATCAGAGCGATATGTCAGTGCGTGACAGCGCGGTGTGTAGACATCGGTCACGGGACGAGCAACATTTCTCACCTCTTAGAGCTTAGGCAGGTAAGGACGTCGCGGCGATGCCGTGTCGAATCGCTCGATTAAATTACGCCATTTTTCACGGTCTCGTTTCACGTCTTTGGAACTGCCATCTGCGCCGAGTACGGGTTATAGCGCGGTTCCTCGATGACATTTCCAACTATACTTGCGTTTCTTTCTATCGAGGGTTTCGGTAGATCTTGGTCATAGGGGTCAGATAGATGAGAAAGCGTGTACTGTTTCAGTACGGAGGAAGATAATAATCATAAGAAGGTGGAAAATGAGTTGTTTTTGGGTTGTTGCGAAGCCTTCGTATCGAGGTTCGGTGTAAAAATAACGTAAAAAATACCATTTTACTAAGAAAGCTAGTAGACAAAGTTCTTACTGCCTTGGATAAAGTACGGAGTACATGGTAAAATGTACAAATTTTAAAGAGTTTCTTGTTGTTTAAAAATGGAAATATGTCTTCGATAGGATTTTAAATAACCAAATAAAAAAAATCAAATTTCAGTTTATAACATATAATTGTAAAGATTAATTAAATTTACTGAGACAGTTGAAGTCGATGAGCGACGTAACGAGTAAGATGTCCAATTAGCTACAAATCGGCAGATTTCCAAACATTTATTCCGTAGTCGGTTTAACAGACTAATATTCGTAACTTTTATTTTTTGGCTAATTTTCTTCAAGGAAAACGAACGACGCTAACGAGTATCGGGGAATTATTATCGAAAAAATGGCGCCTGACATAGGAGACCCTTCGAAGAGCGATTATTATCGAACATGCGTCGCACCGTGATCAAGCACGCAGCTGCATGCTCGTTCTTTATCTCCTTGACTCTGCGGCGCGTAATTCACCATTATTATCTAATTAGGAAAAATGCATCGCATACGGGTACTATCGATGCTACATGCATCCCTTAAATCCTTGAACCTTCGACAAATTTTTCTGCCTTTTCTACGTACGTATATGTTTCGAAAACAAACGTCGTACAGGTATTCGAAAAACTGTCGATATAGGAGAAGATAACGACCATATTTGGAGCGACAGGTTAAATACGAAATCCATTAATTTTCCACTGCGAGTTCTTCCATAACAAGTTCTTCCAAATCGTGGCGCTTCGTCTTCAACTATAGCGAAATGCGAGTATCTCACATAGATTCTCGATTTGTCCAACTACTGCCTACAGTCATCTCGACTAGAAACTTCGTTGCTATACTTTATAAAGACCGTAAGAGGATTGTAAAAGTCGACATCCGTAGTCAACCAATACTCCGCATCTCGAACCTTTTCGTGATCCAAATTTACCAAACTCCCGCGTTAATTTCAATTCTCTAAAAGAAACGATCGACAAGGACACGAACTTCGTGGTTACGATTACCTCGAGGAAAGACGGGAAGACCAGACACTGAACGAAGAGTAAAAGCAGCAGCCCGATTTAATTGCGGCGACATTTCTTATATGGAAGTTATCGGGGTCGGCGCACGTGCCAGGGTGGCGGCGCGGCGGGGCACGGAACCAAGGGTTCTGCTTAATGGGGAACCTCCGCCCGGATTCGAACATTTCCAATGGTCTCTTCCGCGCTTCTTATCTAAATGCGATTCCCCGTTATCTAACCGTCGTCTGGACTCATCACGGGGCCGGCGTCTCTCTTACTTATCCCACCAACGAAACCTTTACTCCACCGTCGCAGAACGAAGAACGAAGGAGGAGAAGAACGGAAGAACGAGGAGGAAGAACGACAAGAGAGAAGCGATAGAAAGGAAGAAAGGACACGACAAAGAAGAAGAGTCGAACAAACTCGAGTCCAGCGGAGACTTTTCTTCGGCAGAACGTATACGTAGCCACGTATCCCGGTTGGTTCTCCGCTCGAACGTCCGCTCTGTCTTCTCCTCTGGCTTCCTCGGCTTCTTCTTTCTCTGTTCGCCACGATGTCTGTACGCTGTACGTTCCAGCGTATATACACACGGGGGCCTGCGCGTACGTCCCCCAGCGCCGCGGAGAGATCGAGATGCAAAGGAGACCCGCGCCGCTTTTAAACTCGCCGCCACGAAGCGGATAAATTCGCCCGGGTCCCTCGATCTATTAATTCGAGCCGGCGTTGCATTCCTGCGGGGTCTCGACCGCTGAGCCCCGGAGACTCCGCGACCTTCCTGCTTTCTCGCGACTACCTGCGCAACCTAGGCTCTCGCTCCCTCCGATCGAGTATACACGCCTGACATCGCGGTGTGTACAGCCTTTACGAGATCGTACGAAGCGCTGGTCTCCTGTCATCTTGTCGCGAACGTTCCCTGAAGCTTCTTCCCATGACCGTTGCTCGGGATTTGGTACGATCATCCTGCAATTTGTTGGTTTTTCGAATACTTGGTCGAGGAGAGCGTGCGAGTTGAGTTTGCATCCTGTTAGACACGAGTAGATGGTAGATTTTCGTGCAAATTTATATCCTAATTTACTTCTTTAGACGTGTTTTGCTGTTTTCTTCGGAATACTACCGGAGACGTATTGCCATTTTCACTAGAGTAAAGACTAAATGCAAGGGTTGACGAGGAGGCAAATCACGCAAGTTGTTCGAACGCGAGCAAGGAAAGACTTCCATTATTCAAAAAGTTGCTAACTTTGAATACCCCGCATGCGCATCCAAAGTAATATCCTTTACGATCGGCGACTTAATCTTAATTCACGTAGCTCTATAGCCGAGTAAAGGCTGTACAAAGATCCGAGTAATTTAAACCTCAAGGATCCGTGGCACAAACCTTCCGTTCATCTTTACAACCGAATTTACGATAACGTTTTAAAACCAAACCTCTTAAAACCACAACATTCCGCGAGTATGCACGGTGTCGATCCCACGAGGGGTCAACTTCCGCCAGG